CTTGAAAGCTTTCAGGAATGGGGACTCCACCACCTCCCTGAGTAGCCTGTTCTTTCTAAAGGGAACAATCCCAATTTCTTCTCCTCTTCCTATCCTGTTGAACCAGCTCTGAAGTACACCCTTCATGGCAGGGATCTGACAGCAGGGAAAGGCACAATAAGCAAAGGGCCATAGCAATTGCTGTGAGCCTAAACGTGTATGGGGACCATAGCTCTACCGTGAGGTGTAAGGATGGACACAACCAGCACTCAGCATGAGTCAACCTCTTCAGAGCACAGGGGTTTTAGTCACCTCTAGTGAGAGTTGGGAGGTAAAGGCTGGGATCAGTGGTGGCAACAAACCCACAGGTCAGCAAGGGCAAGAATGGAAAAAGGGAAAAAAGAGGAAGTGCTGAGTTCTGTAGTTCTTTCTGGATGTGTGTCCACAGGGACATTCTGAGTTACCTTTGGGAATTACCAGTGCTGTCCCTTTTTTTGGTCATGCTGCGATTGCCACAGCATTTCATCTACAAAGCTGTGATGTGCTGATCCCAGAGTTCTGGCAGAACTCTCTCTTCTCTCAGCTCCTAACCCCAGGGCCACATCTCCTCCCTGAAACTAATGTATTTACTTTTATTTGGGATGCTAAACCAGCATATACAAGTGGAATAGGATGAAGTTACCCATACTAGCAAGAAGTGAACAAGCAGGCACCCAACAATTTCACTGACCAGAGCCAAAATTAACATCTGTAGGCAGAGAAGTGCATGCCCTCTATCTGTCCTACAGTCAGGTGGACTACAGCAGGCTACAGCCTACATACAGTGACCAAAAATCATTTCCTATGGGCTGCCTTTGTCTCCAAACCTGCAAGATTTCCAGCATAAGCCTGCAGCTTTTAACATCAAAACGAATAAAGCCAACATCCCCAATAATTTCAGGTCAATCCAACTTCATCCCTATACAATCTTTCCTTTTCTAGAAGTTCAACAAAGAGCTGGAGATCAATGTCTGCACAACACACCATTCTGGAGCCAACACAGAATCCTTGCATAACATTGTAGTGGGATGAAAACAGCAGGAAGGCAAAGTCTTTCACAACAACAAATGAGAACAAGCCCAAAACCAGCAACCACAAACACAAAAACAAAAGAAAAAGAGCAACTTACCAACAGAAAACATGAAATATGCAGGAAACTCCAACAAAAGATACCCTCACCTGCAATGCCAACCCTTAAATACAATCTGGGAAGGGGTGGATCCTGGCTCTATGCCTTCCAGTCACTCAGGTGAATTGCTTGCACCTGAGCTCTGCTGGGTTGGCCCTGAATTCCCACCAGGTGTTCAATCACTGTTTCGGACTGACTTAGCATTACTACTATGCTTTGTCATGGGGCACATTGGAAAGTGGTATTACTGGTAGAACTGTGGCTGAGCTCAGATGTTCCTTCTGGCAGTGCTTTCCTGCCAGCAGTGGTCTCTATGGGTGTCCATGCCATGGGAGCAGAACAGCCCTGCATAGGGCTTCCGGCTCTGGCCACCAGAATGGAATCTGAAAGAGATGGCCCTGTAGCCAATGCTTCCTCTTTTACTGTTTCCTTTCCACCCCCAACTCAGCAAAATTTGGGGATACTGATGTAATTTCCTTAGTATGATGCACTCATCTTTATTCCTTGAAACCTTGTGCCCGCCCAGCAGCTGGGGATAAAAGTGGCAGCACAGCAGATGCTGAGCATCGTGCAGAGCAGAGACCTGCAGCCACCCAACTCCAGCCCTGCTCACCGTGCCAACGTCCTGCAGACCATGAAGGGCCCCGCAGCCGTCCTGGCCGCTCTGCTCCTCCTGGCCCTCTGCTCCTCAGCTGTGGCCCATCTGGGTGAGTCAGGTCTCATTATGTATCTCTGTCTGGGTGCCCGTTCCTCCCTGGGAGCCCCATCCCCATGGAGGGGACCTTCATGGTGGGCTGTGGGGGACTGCTGCCCATGCTGGGGCTCAGCCTTGGAGATGGGGTCCTTAGGGGTGTCCTTGGGGGATATGACATCAGGGGGTGATTGTGTGATGGGAGATCCTTGTAAAGTCCCAGGTAGGCACCTGTGGGGTCTCACCAGGGCTTTGTTTCTCTCTCCCACAGATGGCCTACCCACAACCTGCTGCTTCTCCTACGTTCCACGTCCCATCCCACGCAACGTCATTGCTTCTGCCTTCCCCACCAGCAGCAAATGCCGCCTGCCGGCAGTGATGTGAGTATCCAACCACAGCTGGGGTGGTTGCGGTGTAACACAACGGCATCATGCCACAGCTTCAAGGGTGGTTGGTAAGGGACAAGAGTGTGGCTGTGGACATGTGGGTGCTGCCTGCAGAACCAATCATCGTGTGAACCTAACGCTGGTTTTCTCCCTGCAGCCTGGTCACCAAGAAGGGGAAGGAGGTATGTGCAAACCCCGAGGAGTCCTGGGTGCAGAAACGCCTGGAACTCTTCCAGAGCCAAGAAAACTGACCTTCCGTGCTGTGCCCCTGGGCTTGGCCCACAGGAACACTCACGCACCAGAGCACTTGAACTGGATTGTCTTCAATACGGAATTTATTCTATTTAGCTTATTTAAGTTAAATTAAATATTTTTTTCTAAGAAAATGAAAAATACAAAAATAATTTAAAAGATATCACGACATAATAATCCATTATGGTCATAGTTTTTCCGATGCCTAAATAAAGTTTTTGGACTATCAAACCCCTTTGTCTGTCTCCTATATGGACTTTCAAACCCCTTTGTCACAGTTCCTGTCAGGATCCCATGGTGCTTCCACCTGCCAGGGTGGGCTCAGCTCCCCATGGCCAGTCCTGACCTCAGCACATCCCTGTGGGGTGATGGTGGCATCCTGGCTGGGGTGTCTTTATGAGAAATAGTTCAGCAACAGCAAAGTGCAGGCAGGAAGGACGCCTCAGTATGTGCAAGCCCCAAGGAGTCCTGGGTGCAGAAATACCCGGAACTCTTCCAGAACCAAGAAAATTTCGATGCCAAGAGAATGACTTGGACTATCGAAACCCTTGGTCTCAGCTCCCTGCAGTGGCATCTTCCACGGTGCTGACATCTTGGCTGGGCTCCCATCGCTCGCTCTTGCAGAGGAAGCAGCAGCTCAGCAGGGAAGCGCAGGCAGGAGAGTCGTGGCGGTGGTGGTGTCGCGCCCTGCAGTGCTCCGGCACATCAGCAAACTCCGCTGTGGCGCTTCAACCAGCAAGGCCGTTGTTCAGAGGCTGGCAAGGCGCAGTGGCTGTGGGGCTGTGAGTGCCCTTGGGGTGCTGGGGGTCCTGAGAGGCGGGTTTGGGATGCCCACATCTGCCCACGGGGCTTTGATGGGTGCCAATGAGCTCCAACAGGGAGTTGGAGACACATCAACTCACAGGTCATTGAAATATATGGACTGAAGATGGTATAGCAAATAAACCACATCATCCCTAATTTACTAATGCAAGGGGATTTATTTAGGCGTCAGAGCTCCTGATTCCTTAACAAGTATTTGATGTTTTGTGCATCATCTCTGCGTTTTCACTTCCTTCACAGCGTGGGAGAGCAACTTTTCTGTTCTGGATAGCTCCAGGAGTGCCTGCACCCAGAATTGCTTTGGGTCTGTGCATATCTTCCTCTTCTTCTTGGTGACCACGCTGCAGGGAGAAAAGCACCACTGGGGCAATGGGGTGCTGGGTCTGCATGGCAGCAGCCACATGTCCCCAACCACACTGCCATCCCTTCCTGACCACCTGTGTGTCACAGTCGTGGTGTTGTACTCCAAACCCCGGCTGGATACTCACATCACTGCTGGCAGGGAGCAGGTGCTGCTGGTGGCATAGACAGAGGCAATGAGCTTGTAAGGAATGGGACGTGACACATAACTGTAGCAGCAGCTTAAGGGGAAGTCATCTGTGGGTTCAGGAAAAGAGAGCCATGGTGAGATGCTGTATGTGGGGCTCCCTGAGGGCTTGCCATCAGCTACCCTCAACTCATGTCATATCCCCCAGAAGATCCCATCTCCAAAGCTGAACACCAGCATTGGTGGCAATTGCCCACACTCAGCGCTATGCTGGACCTAGCCATGGAGATGGGGATTCTCCAGCACCCAGAACCCTACCAAGTAGGGACAGTGCCTCCTGCCCCAAGAGGAAAATATAAGACATGACTTACCAATACTGCCAATAGGAAAGGAGTCCACAGTCGAGGGAGCAGAGGGCCAGGAGGAGAAGAGCAGCCAGGGCAGCTGCAGATCCCTTCATGGTGCTGTGGGACATGGGCACAGGGAGCAGGGCTGGAGCTAGTTGGCTTAAGGGCTCTGCTCTGCACAATGCTCAGCCCCTGCTGCACTGCCACTTTTATTCCCTGGCTGCTGGGCGTGTACAGGGTGTCAAGGGAAAAATATGAATGCATAATAACTAGGAAATTATTTCAGAACCCCTGCAGAAATAAAGCTGCAAAAAGGAGAAGCACCAGCCATAGGGCCACTGCTTTCAGATTCTGTTTTAGTGCCCAGTGGGGCACATGTGACACCAACCCTGGTGCTCTGCACTCACCCTGCAATGAGAGCCAGGCTGGGATGTGGAGCTCCATGGCTGCAGCCCCAATGGGAGTTGGGTGGACGGAGGCTGCTCCATCCTCACTGCACACCACAAGCTCAAAAGCAGCTGTGCTTTCAAGCTCTTCTGGGTTATAGGGAATTAGGTGACGAGTGCCCAACACACGTGATTCAGTTTCCTTCATCCCTGACAGCAATTTGCTGACCACTTTGATATCCTCATTGCCACCAGGCACCCCTCCTTCTGCAGCCATCAGCATTAACTCCATGCTCTTTGCTGGGAAAGAAAAACAAACTTCAAATCCCCTCAAACCCAATATTTCTCCATTGCCATCTGACATCAGCACAAATCAGTATCACATGAAGGGAACAGCTGTGCAGGGTATCCTTAAATCTGCCACCTGGCTGCCTCCATGGAGCTGTTCCTGCTTGGTGGTGGGCTTCAACAGAGAGGCAAAGTGTTTTTAAATGCAGGAATTTTATTTAGGCATCAGAGCTCTTGACTCTTTAGCAAGCATTTTGATGTGTTCTGAATCATCTCTGTATTTTCACTTCCTTAGCATTGGTGGGATGGATAGGAGGGAAGCTGTGGGTGTCCCAGATATGCCCAAACCAGCTTGGATGAGCCCTGGGCACCCTGAGCTTGGGGGGGGGGGGATGGCAGGGGGGGTGCAAGAGTCTAGAGCAGGGCTGGAGCTGGGTGTGCTGCGAGGTTCCCTTCCAATCCATCCGTTTTATGATTCTATAATTCCACAGAAGGTCAGTTTTCTTGGCTCTGGAAGAGTTCCAGGCGTTTCTGCACCCAGGACTCCTCGGGGTTTGCACATACCTCCTTCCCCTTCTTGGTGACCAGGCTGCAGGGAGAAAACCAGCGTTAGGTTCACACGATGATTGGTTCTGCAGGCAGCACCCACATGTCCACAGCCACACTCTCGTCCCTTACCAACCACCCTTGAAGCTGTGGCATGATGCTGTTGTGTTACACCGCAACCACCCCAGCTGTGGTTGGATACTCACATCACTGCCGGCAGGCGGCATTTGCTGCTGGTGGGGAAGGCAGAAGCAATGATGTTGCGTGGGATGGGATGTGGAACGTAGGAGAAGCAGCAGGTTGTGGGTAGGTCATCTGTGGGAGAGAGAAACAAAGCCCTGGTGAGACCCCACAGGTGCCTACCTGGGACTTTACAAGGATCTCCCATCACACAATCACCCCCTGATGTCATATCCCCCAAGGACACCCCTAGGGACCCCATCTCCAAGGCTGAGCCCCAGCATGGGCAGCAGTCCCCCACAGCCCACCATGAAGGTCCCCTCCATGGGGATGGGGCTCCCAGGGAGGAACGGGCACCCAGACAGAGATACATAATGAGACCTGACTCACCCAGATGGGCCACAGCTGAGGAGCAGAGGGCCAGGAGGAGCAGAGCGGCCAGGACAGCTGCGGGGCCCTTCATGGTCTGCAGGACGTTGGCACGGTGAGCAGGGCTGGAGTTGGGTGGTTGCAGGTCTCTGCTCTGCACGATGCTCAGCCTCTGCTGTGCTGCCACTTTTATCCCCAGGCACTGGGTGCGGAAGGGTTTCGAGGAACAAAAGATGAGTACATAATAACTAGGAAATTATCTCAGAATTCCTGCAGTTTTTCTGAAATGGAGAAATAAAGCTACGAAAGGGGAACTGCTGGCTGCTGCTTTCAGTTTCTGCTTTAGTGTCCGGTGGGGACTGGCCAGCTCCTGACTCCTCATGAAACCCACCTGTCTGCTCTGCACTGACCCTGCAGTGAATCCCCTCAAACCCAACGTTTCTCTAACATCAGCCAAAATCAACATTGCATGGAGTGAACAGCTGTGCAGAGCACCCTTAAACCCACACCCAGGCAGGGTCTACACTGTTGGAGGGCGTACAGAACCTTCACCATTCTGGTTTCACATTTCCTAATGCCTTCTGGGCTGTTCCCAGGTCCTCACAGTGAGGCAAACCCCAACACGGCCTCTCTTTCCCAGTGCAGGATTCATATCTCACTACAGCCACACAGGTGCAGGTCAGAGCAAGTAGCTTTATTAAATCTCAGTAGAGCTGTACAGTAGTGTGAAGTGGGACAGAGGGGGACAAGGCAGAGCTGGCTCCATAAGTTAATGAGACATCACAAGCACTGACAGGTCATGGCAGGGTACGTAGAAATAGAGCTGGTGTTGGTAGCAGCTCATGTTGAGGCGTTGCTCAGCTTCTTTCCCTGCAAGTACTGCTGGAACCAGCCCTCTGCAGGGTCCACGCAGAACTTCTTCCCCTTCTTCAGCTCCACGCTGTGGGTAGAGGGGCTGGGTTAGCTGGAGTGTCCTCCCCTACCCTGCAGCATCATTCCTAGCATTCCCCAAAACTCTGACTTCTAGCAGCCTTAAATCCCTCGTAAACCTTGGTTTCCTTCCCATTTTTATTGCTGAAACGAGGGGCTGCTGGAAGATTTGAAATAAAGCATTGAGAGGAGGAGGAACATGTGGATAGAACTCAGCATATAGCACCCTGAGAGGGGCTTACTGTGGCATTCATAGTGGGAAGTGAAAGCACAGGCAGGGTGGCTGAGGGTGAGGAGTGCAATGGGAAGGAAGACTGGGGTGGAAGGTTGGTGGAGAAAGGCTGGGCATGGGAGGTTGGGGGAGGAAGGCTGGGGATGGAGTCTGGGGATGAAGGGACTCACATAATGGCTCTGCGGGAGCAGTTTGGAGGTGTTTCCCGATAGCTGCGGATGAGCGAGGTGTTGATTTCCCTCTGGATGAACATGTTCTTGTAGCAGCAGGAGCTGTAGGAGCTGCGGACTGAGAGGAGGAAGGGATTGGTGCTGTCCCATGCCTGACCCCAGCCACTTCCCCCACTATGAGGATCCCTGCCATGTCTCCAGCTCTGCAGGTTTGCCCCTATATTCCTCTCTGACAAGAAATCCCCAGGAACAAGCGTTATTAGCAAACATCTTCCAAGCCAGTGTTGACCCCTTGGCACCTTAACTCCACAGCAGAAGCAGGGGCTGAACCTATTCCCCCATCCCCAACCCCAAACCTGCAGCAGGACGTGGGTTAAGACTCCGTGTTGGTACTTACAGGACTTGCCCCAGCTCTCAGTCCAGACAGCTGCAAGCAGCAGAGTGACCATGGCCAAGGAGTAGATCTTCATGTCCGATCTGGGTGGCTGTCAGCTCCAGGAACCAGTAGCTCTTGCTGGTTTGGTGCTGCTGAGTGCTACCTGCTTGTACCTCAGCATTATATAGCCCCTGTCCAGGATTTCCATGACAGCTCTGGACTCTCCCCAGGGGAAGAACCACTTGTTGCTATTACTAAAGGGCAACTGGGGGATGGAAATTCCTCTCCCTGGCTGGTGCTGTTCCGGCCCCTCTTCACACCCAGCCTATGGTGCTTGAGGGCTTCTGGAAAGTCTGGTGAGCACAGTCCTGTGCTGCTGCAATGTGTAGCAGCCTGCAGTCTATTTTGGGTTCAGCTGCTGCCACCGACAAACCACACAGGATGATAGTCATGCTCACTGAAGACCTGAGTGAGCTTATATTCAAAACTCATCCTGACTGTGATGCTGCTCTTGCAGTTTTTGCTGAGGTGACTGGCTTGGCACTGACTGCACCCAAGCTCAGGCCAGCCCACCCCAGACCCCATGGCTGTGTGCCGAGTGCCCATGGTTTTGGCTATGCCCATGGTGCTTCCTGTAGTGGTGGCCATGTTTCATGATGGTGCCCATGGTGGTGGTGGCTGTGCCCGTAGTGCTGCCCATAGTGGTGACTGTGTCCATCATGGTGCCCATAGTGGTGGCTAAACCTGTAATTGTGGCCATGTTTGTCATGGCAGCCATGGTGGTGGCTGTGCCCATCACAGTGACCACATCAGTGGCCATGGCCATTGCATCTCCTCATGGCAACCCTGGCATGTGAGTTGTTACCGGGGCCTAACTGTGCAGCTCAAGTTGAATTTTGTCTGGGGATGGCTGATGAAGAGCAAGGGAAGACCCCTCTTTTCAGGTTTGGCACCCAGAGATGTGCTCACTTCTTGCCCCTTTTGCAGATGGCTTCCCCAGGTCCCATGTGGACACTGCTTGACTCTATGTACTCCCAGATTCTTCCAAAAAGGAATTGAGAAGAGTGACCACAACATCATCTCTTCCCACCCCTTTACTGAGTTCAGCTCTCACAGCTGACATTTCTTACCCAAAGCAAGCCAAGAGCAGGAACTCTTCTGCTCCCCAGACACTTGCACAGCCAGATGTTTGCATACACAAGGTTGAGTTTAATTCTGTTTACAGTGCTGTATAAGAAGCATTAGTGATGCTACTCCCTATTAACCCCTGCACTGCAAAAAGCCCAAGGAGCACAGTGACACTGACATGCAAAGCAGTTGTTCCCTGCCTAAGACCCAGTCCAGCCATGGTCTCAGGGTGGAGAAGAGCGAGAGATGCAGGAGATACGGAAATCTGTGCACAGTGATGCTAAGAGCTCCAGGATCTCACAGTGGGATAAATGGAAAGAAAACATGGAGGTGAGTGCTGCTTATCTGCATAGCACAGGGCTGAGACGGGGAGGACTCGCATTGCTGGTCTCCCCATCTCTGTGATAAGGCTGCCTCCAAGGGCCCTATGCTGCTCTTGTGGCTCTTCTAGCTGGGGATGGAGTAGGAGCTGACCTGGAACCTCTGCTGGTACCTCTTCACCCACATCCTGTCCGCTGGGGTGCAGATCTCTTTGCCATTCTTCACCTTGAAGCTGTGCAGAGAAAAGAAATGGATTTAAGTCTCCTAACCCAGAAGATCTGAGGGCAGCGAATTCTCCAGCAGCACCCACTCACTGCCATGCTGATACCACCAGGGGGGCAGGCATACTCACATCACAGCTCGGTGTGGGCACTGAGGGCTGGTGGCATAGCAGGTGACAATGTTGTCCATTTTGATCCTTCTGGTATGAAAGTTGAAGCAGCACTTGTCAGGCACAGCTGGGGCTCCTGGGGGGAGAATGAGAGCTCAGCTCAGCCTGAAGGCCCCCAGTTCCCATCCCGGCCTCCTTGCATGATGCAAACCCCATGCACCCCTCCCTTCTCCCTGGTGTTCCCATCCCCAGTCCCGCAGGTGGCCGCGCTCACTCTGGGCCAGGCTCTGGCAGCACAGCGCAGTAAGGAGGAGGAGGACAAAGAGCGCCCCAGCTGCCTTGGCCATGTTGGGCTGTAGGAGGGCTGCGGGCTGCTTCACTCTCCCTTCTGCTTGGGATGGGACTGCTGGGCTTCTTTTATGGAGCAGCAGCAGCGCTGACTCCCATGAGGTCAGTAGTTGCGTGGACAGGGGGAGGACCTGGTCACTGGACGTGTCCCAAAGAACAGAGAGTGGGTGATATCCTTCCCCTCCCAGAACAGTTTGAGGAGGAAAAACCTGCTCTCAGAATCTGAGGGGCTTGGGATTTTCTAAACTTCTTCCTGCAATATTGGGGCTGGTGGCCATGTTGCTCCCCCAGTTTGGCTCTGCACCCCAATCCCTAGGCAGGTTGTATGGCTGTGGAGGGGTGCATGGGACAGGGCAGTGTCTGGAGCTGAGCAGGGTCCCACACAGCCAGGCATGCTCCCAACATACATCACAGCTGGCAGCAGCTGCCAGTCCATGGGAGCACAGTAATGCTTTGCATCCCACTGATTTGTGTCTCAGTGGGGAGGCAAATGTCCAATCCCAGACCTGACACTCTTTTCTAAAAATAAAAATAAAAATAAAATAGCCTATTTATAAAATAAGTTTACTAAAAAGTAAGTAGCCTTTGCTCAGATGCAGAAGGCACATGCATGGCCCTCTGCTAGTTCAGGAGACTTTGGAGCCCTGTGGGGCTGGGTGAGGCTGGGCAGGTGTTTCCACTTCCTATCCCCAAGGCCAGAGAAGCAGCTCATGTTCTTGGCCACGATGAGCTGGGAAATAGCAAAGACTAGACTGGGCTTCCCCAGTGGTCTTTGCCTGCCTACAGCTGTGCCAAATCCCCTTCTCCCCCAGCCCAGACAACTCCAGATGCTGGCAGATGTACACAGATGCGAGTCCCTGCTGGCACAGATCTCAAGTCTGTGGACACTGGTCAAGGCTGTGATCATCCCCACAGGATGCTGTGGCCATCTCCATAGTGGGACCACCCGTACTTCTGCGTCCCTCTGGTTTCTCTTCTCCAAACCTATTTCCCAGAAATCAGACTCAAGCTTTTGGCTGCAGAAATCTCCCAGACTGCTGTGATGGAGTGTATGTGTGTAGGGTGCAGTGAGGGAACTGTAGGATATCCCAGGGTGCAAGGAAAGGGATGTTCTGTGTTTTTGTGTCCCATCCCACCATTAGCCCAACACTGGTTTAATTTCTCCACTTCCATCTTGTCCCAGCCCAGGGAGCAAAGGGAAGCAGATGGTGCTGGGATGGTGTAGGCTCCTGTCTTTGTTTTCACTCCCTGGATCCCTTTTCCCCATCTCATCTCCACATCCTGAGGTCTTCTGGCTGAGCAGGACAGTCTGAAACCTCACTGCCAAGCCATATGGAGCCCCCACTCCTACCCTGGTGACAGCATTGCACGGTGCTGCCCCAGGATCTGCTTTCAGTAGCACAGATTATCCTGGATGTGGCCAAGGGGAAATCTCAGACAGGCTTTGCTGGACCCTCTCCAGCACAAGTTGTTTCCAAACA